GGAGAACTACTGGAAGCAGAAGGAGGCACGGCCAGAGAAGCATACGATCTGCGACTGAGAGTTGCCAAGTAGCACTTATGACTTAAAAGACTATAGACGAACTGGATGAAGTCTTTATGCACCCTGAGAAGAAAATAGACATTTACTAAAATGGACTCACTAATCTCAACTCATTGACTTAAACAAAAGCTTTAATTTTTTATAACTAACTATGTACTAACTGTTAATGACCTTCCTTTCTTGGGTTTTTAGTTATAGTGTGGGGTCTTTTTCTTTTATACTGTCTGTATCCTGGGGTTTGTTATTTTAGTTTGTTATTTTTTTCCCTCCCCCCAACCACTTTTTTCTTTTTTTCCCTTTTTCTTCTTTTTTTCTCTTTGTAGTCATGTAGGTGTAACAAAAATCAATAAAACTACCCTGCCTTCAGGGGATTAAAACTAATAATAATAATAATAATGAAATAATGTCCAACACTGGCCCCTTTTATCCCTCTCCTGCCACTGCTCAGAGCAGTGGCAAGAAGAAAGGGTTGCCAGCCTCCAGGTGGGGCCTGGAGATCTCCCGCTTTTACAACTGATCTCCAGCCGACAGAGAACAGCTCCCCTGGAGAAAATGGCTGCTTTGAAGGGTGGACTCTATGGCATTGTACCATGCTGAGGCCCTTCCCCTCCCCAAACCGCACTCTCTCCTGGATTCACCCCCAAAGTCTCCAGGTATTTTCCAACCCAGACCTGGCAACCCTATACTTTTTGCCTAACTTCACTGAGTTGTATGGATAAAATGGAAGAGAGAGACCAGTGTATGCAGCCCTGAACTCCTTGGAGGATGTGCGGGGTCAAAATATTCTTAAATAAATATGAAAATCCTACCTTTCAGATAGCCCAGTGGAAGCAGATAAGTCCGTCCCCTGCTAAGGAAGGGCTTTATATAGTAGTTTGAGGCCTCTACTTCTTGCTAGTACCTGCCAACAATTCATGAAAGCAGAAGGGATTCTCACATATTCCTCTGTTCTGTACTGTGAATAGAATAGTGTTACATTAAGGCCACCTCTCATGTAATTTGGTGCTCTTCCCACAAGCTCATGTTTCTCACAATCAGGCAACTATAATAAAAATAGAATTGGTTTTAAAGACCTAGGTCCTGGTTTACTGCATTTGTTGAAAGCTAGATATATTTTTCTTTCTAATGGCTTATTTTTTTATTATTATTATTAAAGTGATTGAGTACGAAGCCGTTCCTAGGTATGGACCCGCAAGCCCATTCAAAGGACATTTAAGTACTAAAAGTAATGGTAAGTAATTTGCATGGTGTGCAAAATGAACAAATTTTATAAAATAGCTTCCCACTAAAATATTAAGTCTGTTGACTAGAAAAATATTTTTTGTTACTGTGATAAGACCTCAGTTAATATTTTTTCTGTACAGGGATGTTAGTCAAGGAGAAACTTTTAAGCCATTGACTGTCTTATTTTAAGTAATTCATAAATTAATCTGAGGTCTCCAACCCTTTTGAATCTGTGGGCACCTATTCTAGCACAGCATGGTGGGCACAGCCACAAAATGGCTGCCATAAAATGGATGCTGCAGGTGTGGAGCCAGCCACAAAATGGTTGTCCCAGCACATAGTGAAGATCCTTCTGCTGTGGTGTTAGCTGCTGCCAAAGCCGTGTGTTTAAAAATCTGCACAGCCAATTTCAGAATCCTTGATGGGCAAAGGTCCCACCTTTCCCCACATACGTTCTAAGAACACTTCATGGGCACCAGAAAAGGTGTCTGCAGGTGCCACATTTGGGACCCTGAATTAACCAATTATGTAAATAATATAATCTCATAATGCATAAAATAGCTGATGAGGTACATGACCAGCTGCCAAACCTCTGGGCCTCAATACATAACAAGCATGTACACATAACTTTTTGTTTGAGAAAGACGAAATTCAGGTATCAGGATCCCAAACCATTTAGGGCTTTAGAGTTCAAACCCAGAATTCTAAATAGTTCCTAGAAATGATATGGGGGCCACTGAAGCTGTGCTAAGACTGGTATAATGTGATCAAAGGAAATAGCGAGTTCAGCCTCTTACCAGTTAGGAGACCAATGTTTTCAGTCCTATTTGTCATGAAATGTGTTGCCAACATTTCCAGGTTACCGTCCTTTAACCCCTTTCCTCCAAGGTGGTCACATTGACATCATAATGGGGCTATTCTGCAGTAGGTGCTTTGAGGACCTCAATGTCATATGCAAGGCTGTGTTTTGCTACTGCAGCTGTTTAGAGTGAGACGTCTCACCGGTGTCGATCAAATGGCTCTGTAATCACTGCTTTGCTCATTCATGGCTTGATAACTAAAGAATTGCATTCCAGTGTGAGTGTTGCATTATTTAATGTCTGTTCAGGCATTTGAATAGCTTTTCTGCTGTTTCCTGGGCTGGTCACAGGGCTTTGTGAACTCAGCAAATCAAGAAGATGTGGTAAAGGTCTGGAAACAGGTGGAATTCCTAGAGATGGACTCTCAAGTGATGGTGGATTTTGAGGGGACCTGCCGTTGGTTCTATGGAACCTTGGAGGAGAGCTGCATACTATTCAGATTCTGAGGTGTTGGTTACCATAGTTAAGGCACTCTAATGCTAGAAACTCCAAGGGCATTGAAGAAAGAATTACCCTAAGTTGAATTACGTGCTAAAAATTCTTCTTCCATTCTGATTATCTAGAACGTTGGCTTCCATTTCTTGGTTATATGGAAAAACACATTAAGATCAAAGCAGCACTTCCTGATAATCTTAAAATTATTGCTATATATTGAAATGCTGTAACTATTTCGACTGTTTACTTATTTATTTTTACTCTGTTTTTGAATGTTGATGGTTATTACTAATTCTGTTTGTTTGTGTATATTTTGATATTTCAATAAAATGTTTTTTAAAAATTAAGGCAGGTCTTAGCTGAGACTGATGATGGCCTCCTCATGTTATATAAAGCAGACACCTCATCAAATACCCTGTCACTTGAGAAGAATTCTCTGTTGGAGCTCTGAATGTTGTTGACCAAAACAATTCCTTAACAGTTCTGTTTTCATTACCATTGAGATATTCCCCTTTCTTAAGAAGCTGCTTATGCAAAAAAGGCAAAAACGGTGTAAAGAGGGCTCTAATTCTTGAATGCAGTCCACCAGGATGTTCTGCTGCACAAGCCCCAATGGCATGAATGGAAGCTGTATCCAAGAGTCGGTGGTGGAAAATACCATCGAGTTGCAGCCAACTTAGGCAACCCTGCAGGGTTTTCAAGGGCAGAGATGTTCAGATGTAGTTTGCCATTGCCTGCCTCTGCATCGTGACCCTGGACTTCCTTGGCAGTCTCCCATCTGAATACTGACCAGGGCTGACCCTGCTTAGCTTCTGAGATCTTCCGAGATCATGTTAGCCTGGGTCACCCATGCCAGGGCATACCCAGAGTTACTTACAATTTATTCCTATCATGCCACTTACTTATTTTGGTGAGCTTTGTGCAGGACAACTTCCTGCCCTTTGTGGTCTTTTCAATGCCCTTTACCATCTCTATACTTTCCTGTTTTCACTGCAGGTCAATACTTCTAACTTTGTAATGATCATGTGTATTTTAATTTTGTAGCTTTCTGCATTGACTCCTCCTCCCGCAGACTAAGTAACCAGTACCTCATCAGGGATCACATGGCTGTCCACTACAATAAAATCCTTTCAGCCAAAGGTAAAAACTTGCATATATGAACTCTGTGCAAATAGTTCAAATGCTGTTTATTTTTGTGCATATGTTTTTCTGGAACGCACATGTAGAAAGATCCTGATGGATTGTGTAGCTGAGGTGGCTAACCTTTCAAACAACTATACTGTAAATTAAACCCTATGTATGAGAGAGTACAACTCCAAAGACTCCTGTGCTACAAGATGGCCATGCTTCTATATTGTTGAGGCTGTGCAATATTGTGTCTGGACTGAAAGTTTAGCCCTTTCCTTATTCTCCTCTATCCACCACCCCACTTCCTTCTTGCATGCAGGAGTACAGTTTTGCTTTAAAAATGAGTGATTAAAAATAATTGTTGACATTTAAAATCTGCTGTTTCAGAGTTTAAAGTGCCAAGGCTCACCCTTGCCAGCATTTGAAATGCTAAACTGAATTAGTGGTCCAGATATTTAGGCATTTTGAGGATCTATCCCCCCCTCCCCAAATAAAAACAAAAATAAAAGCACTAGACTGAGCGCATCTTGCACCAATATGTCAGCCTAAAGATCTGTATCATAAACTACATCATTTGCTATTTCTTGGATTGATGAGTAGAGATTCATTCTTGCACTGTTCCAAAGACGGTGCTGTATCCTAATTAATATCTGGCACAAATTTGCTAGCGTTAATTATCTTCTTTTTTAAATTGCTTCAGTACTCTCTTATTTTCACTCTGTTCAATCACAGTAGGTGATAGTATAGGAAAAAAATTCTCTTTTAAAATAATCTCTTATGAAGAGATTCCAGCTGTCCTTCTCATAATTAGGAACTAGAGGAAAATAAGTCTTGTAGCAGCTTAAGCTACATGGTCAGTAAAAAAGAACTTTAAAATATATATTTAAAATGCTGTATGTTCACTAAAATCGTCTCCAAATACAATCAGTTTGCATATATTTAGTCATCTCATTTAGTAGGGTTGCTTTATAGGTACAAGATTCTGGTTTTAAACTGTAATATAGCAATAAATAATTGTATTAATTTATTTAGTACAATTTTATCCTGCCCTTCCTCCAAGAAGCTCAGGGCAGTATACATTGGTCTCTCCTCCTCCATTTCACGCTCACAACATCTCCGTGAGGGGAGTCTAACTGGTCCCAGGTCACCCAGTGAGTTTCCATAACAGAGTGGGGATTTGAACCTGTGTCTTTCTCATCCCATCCCAACACTCTGACTGCAACATGCACCATGCTGACTTATTCACAAGTCTACCTTTATTCTCCAATATGGTAAAATTCAGCTTTGTAGCCATTCCATTCGAGTTACTAGTTTTAGTTAATCACTCCAAACTAGTATCTGGATCCATTTATTTTGTGCATTTTGTAATCCTCTTGCTACAGCCTGTTTTACAAATTTATGAATGCCTTTGAGCATATGAGCACACGACATTCATCTTTGGTCTTCTGTGCAGTGCCCCATTGGGAATGCAGTTAGGCAGGCCAGCGGCAGAAAAAGTTCTTTTAAAGCTAAAAAGTCACTAGAGGGCATCTTTCACCCCTCCCAAGGCCACAGTAAGCTGCTTTCTTCCCCCCCCCCAAGAGTCACATGGTCTCAGGAGGAGGGCTTCCATTCCCCTCAGTTCTTTTCTTCACTGGTGCTGGGAGTAGGTTCTCTTTTTGCTCTCTCGTGTACCTTACTTTCCTTCATTGTTTGTTGTCTGAAAATTAAGATTTTGCTCGGTGGTGAAAAGGTCTTACTTTCCTTTTACATTACATTACATTACACTTTCAGCTTATATACCACTCCTTCCCGAGGGCTTGGAGCGGTTTACAGAGAACATTTAAACCATCCTAACTAGGGCCACAGTGCCAAGGGGAGGGATGAGTGCCTACCAGGCACCCGCAGCAGGGTTTTTCTTTGTTGGTCTTTCGGCTCTTTTTATTCCGTGGTGGGTTCTTTCCGTTTCAAGGCAACGGTGTCTCGGCAGAGGTCTTTTTTCCCATAGCGACTCCTTCTGGAGTAGTTCTTATGGCACGCAACTATGCGACGGCTGTAGCAACTTGCCTCCGTCCCATTGGCTCCGACCACGCCACTTCGTCACGCCGCCGCGTCTCCTGGACCAATCTCCGCCTGGGTCGCTCGTTGCTTAACGCCGGATTACTGCCATGTTCGCCGGATCGCCACCTCGTCGCCTGTTGCCACCGGTCAGCTGCCGCCACTGCTGCACACCAATCCATTGGAAGGAGGGTGCCCCCCGCTCCTAGGAGTGGGTACCCATTTATCTACTTGCCTAGGGCTTTCGAACCGCTGGGTGGGCGGGAAAAATGCCCTTTCAGCCATTGCCTAAAAAAAAAGTGAAGACAAGACTGTGAGTCGATTGTCTCTCGGCAAATTTCCCTAAAGTCTAAGGTCTGCCTTTGCAGCCTGCCTTATTTGATCAGAGGACCTCGCCCTTCCCACAAGGAAATTATGGCACAGAAAGCCTTATTTAAATCCTACAGCAAATGTGGTACTAAAATGCCCCATTCTGACGAGCACAGTTTCTACCTGTTGTTCCTGGGCAAGAAACACAAGTCGTAGCCTGCCAAGTGCCAACAATTACTACCCAAGGACAGAGCCTCCCACCTCAAAGCGACCCTCTGTGAAAAAGCCTTATCATCTAGTAAACCTGCGCAGATGACTCCCTTGGCTAGCAGACCTTCAAAGTTGCCCTCAGTGGCATCAGTTCCATTGGCCTGGCATTCTGAGGCCACTTGGGCTCAGAAGGTTTTATCCAAGGATGTTTGGAGGAAACCAGCTTCAGCTCCCATCACTTCCAGACACGCTGAAGACCTCTCTATAGAGTGAAACAAGAGGATTCAGTGTTCCTATTTTTGCATCCTCCCATCCTTCTTGATAGTGGAGGACCTATAGGCTAAAGGATGCTCTTTCAACCATTACGCCCTGACAGATAAGGAGGGGAAGAAAATTGATGGTCTGGTTCGAAAAATCTATTCATCAGCCGCCTTGACATTTAATATTGCCAACTACCAGGCAATCATGGGCACCACAATTTAAGAAGGATATAGACAAGCTGGAAGGTGTCCAGAGGAGGGCAACAAAGATGGTGAGGGGTCTGGAGACCGTCCTATGAGAAAAGGTTGAAGGAGCTGGGTATGTTTAGCCTGGAGAGGAGACAACTGAGAGGTGATATGATAACCATCTTCAAGTACAGCTCCATTTCTCTTTTAAATGTTTGCTGAAATAAATTCTTCTCCCAACGTTTTATAAACCAAGTATTTTGTATCTTTTATCTTGAATGCATCTCTTGTAAACAAATAATATCTTGCTTTAATTTTTTCAAATAATGATGTTTTTCTCTTTTGAGGAGCATTTGCTCCATTGATATTCTAAGTTAAACATTTCTAATCCATATTCTGATAAAAATAAGAAAAAAATTAAAATTTAGTTAGTACCTGCAGTGTCCAACTCAGTATCTTCCTTCTCCCATTCCTGTTGTTTCTGTGTAGGTTCTGTTGGACTTTCCATTTACATCTCCTCAAGATCTCTTTTAAATCTTTCTAGAAAATCTCTGGCCTTTGGAACTCAGTTCAATCTAAATCTCTGTTTCTTAATAGTAAAGATCACACCCTCCAAAGTGTCCCATCGAAAGGCAATCATTTTCTGTCCTAATTTTTCAATCAGGAAGGCACAGTCTTTTCTATTACATAGAATTCTAATAGGGATTTCTTTCAAAACAATTATAGCTGTATTGTCAGTTTTTAATTTTGTAGTAAAATGTTGTTGGAGAACTCGGTCCCTTGTCTTCTTTCTCCACTCAATGCAATACTGAGGCTCAGATCTTCTGTTCTCAATAGGGGACACCTTCCAGTTCATCTGGACAGGCGCTCTTTTTTACATGTTCCCCCTGCTACCTTTGCTAACCAAGGTAGTAGCCAAACTAACTGAGGATGCCTCGCAGGCCATCTTAGTAGCCCTGTTTTGGCCTCACCAGGTTTGGTTCACCCCTCTACTCAAGAGGTCCAGGAGGGATTACATGTACCTCCCGAATGTTTCCAATCTATTGAGAAATGGACAATTACTACAGCACAACGTATAATATCAGTGTCTCATGGTGTGGAAGCTAAAGGATGATTGACTTTCGCTAAATGGGTTCAGGAGATTCTTTCGAATGCATGAAAAGCCTCCACTAGACATTCATATGAAAATAAGTGGAGACGGTTTTTGGCATGGATTGTACCCAAGGGTACGTCACCCTATTGGTGCTCAGTTTCAATAATTCTGAAGTACTTATATACCTTAAAGGTACAGGAGCTAGTGCCCTCTTTCAGAAAGGTATATCTAGCTGCCATATTGGTCTACCATGGCCCTGTGGACAACACTTTGGTATTCTCATATAGGCTCTGCAAACAATTCCTCAAGAGCCTGGTGAACGTGCACCCCCCATGCCCTGTCCTGGTCCCACACTGGTCTTTATCCTTTGTGCTTTTGCAGCTTATATTGAAACACTTTGAACCTCTGGCCACATGTCCCCTAGAGGTAGTATCCATCAAAGTTTGTTTCCTTGTGGCTATAACATCCATTAGGAGGGTGAGCAAACTGGCAGTGTTGTGGATTGACTCTCCATTTCTGAAAGTCTTTCCAGAACATGTAGTCCTTAGACTGAGTTTTTAGCAAACGTTGTGTCAAATTTTCACATACCCCAGGATATTGTTTTGCCTGCTTTTTCCCCCAATCCATCCTCACAAGCTGAACATGCTCTACATACTCTAGCCATGAGACGGACCTTGTTATTCTACCTAAAGAGAACGGAAACAGTTTAGGAAGTGTGTCAATCTGTTTATTTCATGTGCAGGACACAATAAGGGAAGATCGGTTTCCTCTCAGTCCCTGTCTAGATGGATTGTGACAGCAATAAAACTGTGTTATGAACATCAGGTGTGCCCTCATTTCATATCCGTGCCCATTCCACACAAACACGGGCATCATCCGCTGCCCTCTGCAGAAGCATGCCACTCCTAGAGATATGCAGGTCGGCCACATAGTCATCCACGGACACATTTGTGAAACCTGCAGGCAAGAAAAGAAGCAGATGTGGGGAAGGCCATTCTATGAGCCTCGTTCCACTAATTTTGCAGGTGAGAACTTCACCTCACCTCTTATCACATAGCTTGGTAAAATCCTAACGGGGGACTGCACAGAAGACCAAAGATGAAAATGAGGTTGCACTTGCCTGTGTACTGTTGTTCATCAAGTTGTCTTCTGTGAAGGGACATGTTCCTTGCCTCCTAGCCTACTGTGAGTTCTCGTGGCTCAGGTGGCTTAGGTAGAACTGAGAGGAATGGTCACCCTCCCCCTGAAATTGTGTGACCCTTTGGGCAGGAAAGCAGCTCATTGTGGCCTTAGGAGGAGTGGAGGGTGTCCTCTAGTGACTTATAGCTTAAAAAAACCTTTTCCATGGCTGACCTGCCTAAGTGCAGTCCCAGTGTGTGTCTGCACAGAGCAATGGTTACTCCTAAGTGCAATCCTGTTTTCCCTTATACTGAATCAGCCCGTCAAGATCAGTATTGTCTACTCAGACTGGAAGTGGCACTCCAAGGTCTCAGGCCTTCCACATCACTTCCTACCCGGTCCTTTTAACTGGAAATGTTGGGGATTGAACCTGGAGTCTCTGCATGCAAAGTAGAGGCATTTTCACTGAGCCACAGCTCCCCCCCCCCATGACTGGTAGAAGCTGTCCAAGGTCTTGGTAGATGTCTTTCACATTGCCTACTACCTGATCCCTTTAGCTGGAAACACTGAGGATTGAACCTGAAACCTTCCGCATAACAAGCAGATGCTCTGCCATTGAGCCGGAGTCCTTAGCCCCTGAGCACTCTGCTTTTATTTAGTTTCTATGGCCAAGTGTACCACATTTCTACTTTTTAAAAACACAACTGGATTAAAATAGCAGTGCACATTATTACTGTTATTAAATTCAACACCTTTATGAGTCCAGATGCTTTATAGACCTGAAACCAATAATGCCCACCACAGTTTTCCTGCAGTAGGTCAGTGTTACTCCTTTTTTACAGACTGGGAATAGCAGCTGAGAAATAGTGACCAGCCAGTAAGTTCAGCATGAATTTCAACCCAGTTTTCCCATACCCAAATCTTAAACTGAACCACACACCTATCAAGTGTATGCGTGTAAGATATTTATAGCTGACTGAACATCACTGTAACATAAACCAGAAGATGCTTTTGTTGGTTCTTTAGAGTTCACCATCCATCTGTGTGCTTCATGACTCTCATTTAATTCCAGGCTCTGGATGAATGTAAACATTGGCCTGGGGTAGACCTAATGCTAAGCCAGGGTCTGCTGCCATGTGAAAGAGCTGCAGGGATTCTCTTGATCATGTGGTCCTTCCTTCCTCTCTTTCCTATCTACTGCTATGCCATGATCTAATTAGTTAGTCCCTCTTCCATGCCAAACTGTGGTTTGCCCTCAAATTTCAGCCAGGAAGCTATGGCTTGTGCTTTTTCTGGCTCCCAATGTACAATCTGTTTTGTGGGTCCAACACAGACTATACTTGGCCGGCTCTGATATAACAGCAAGCTGTGGTTTGCTGAAAAAGTGCAAATGACTAATTAAATCTTGGCACAAGAGGGGGAGAGAAGTGGGAGCACACAAGTCAAAGATAACCTCAGGCATTTTTGTGTAGGATCAGGCCATTGTTTTATGTCCACCCTTGTAAAAGTTACACCTAATGTAAGCTAGTGCTATTATGTGACATTAGAAATCTGAGCATTTTGTTTTTGAAAATCAGGCTTCTAGTCTTTGTGAGCTAAGTAAATAATCAAGTGACAGATACCAGAAAAGGGCCAGAAGGACTTCTGTATCTAGGGCAGTGCAGCCAGCTTCCCACCCTGGTTGCAGCTGTTCCTGAAGATGGAGCCCTAATACTGAGACACAAAGCTGTTTGCACTGAGAAGAGAGAGGAGGAGGGGCTTGAAGACTGCAGGCATTTTCTGTTTTCCACTTACAGTGTACCACTCTATTGTGGGAGCATGCTGGGAGAAAATATACCTGCATAGCTTGCCCAGAGGGCAGCTGAAGCTGAGTGAATAATGTATGGAGAATGCCAGTGTAGAGGAGAAAATGGCTGCTTTGAAGGGTGGATTGTATAATGGTATTATACCCCTCTCCCGTCCCCAGACTCCACCTTCTCATTTCCAGGAACTTCTCAACCCAGAGCCCTAAATTCATCCCCCAGAGGAATACCAGCTGACCTTTTCCCCCACCCCCCTTCCAATTGTCAAGTTAGAGACAAAATAAATGGGAGGAAAACTGGCACCTATATCGTCAGAAAATGCTGGCAGTCCACCTTAGAAGGTGGGGATGAGGCACCTGCCTACCATCCCTCACTTTATTCAGACTGATCCTCCAGGAAACACTAATTGCTGACCAGGGTTGAAGAGCCATAAAACCTATTTTCCTGTAAGATCTTAGATCACATGCCAATCAGGCATCTGAATTAAAATCAAGTGTGCTGAATCCACCTGTGTCGTTAGTGTGCTATGCAGCTGGTTATCTGTGTAATTTTGGTGGGGGTGGGACAGCTGGGGAAATGTGGTAGGATATTTTACATGTCTATATAGCTCAAACCTGGGTGCATTGAAGTCATTGGGCCCAACAACACTTCTCTGTGCTGGTCTGGGGCCAGAATAGAATCCCCCCCCCCCAGCAGTGCAAAGCTGTGTTTTCCCAGGAACTGGTTGCTCTAATTACTTCCTTATCACGTTGAGGACAGCCTCTCCCCCCATGCTGCTTTGGATGCCAAAATGTCTAAAGTTCTGATCCATATTTAAATGTTTTGCTTGATAAACAGACTATTAAACCATCTCATCATTTCATAAGGGGCTGACTCAGGAGCAGTATTGGAAACTAGCTGTGTAATACGTGTATATATACTATTAGAATATGCTGATATGGTCAGTCTGATGCCTTTTCTCTTCCATGCATCACTGCCCATATTCTCAGCAATTGCATTATGTATAGGAGTAGTGAGATTCAGTATTCATTGAAGCCTTGGAGCAAGTAAAAAAAAAACCCTTATGGAGTATTATTACATCAGGGGGCAGAATAGCCAGAGCTATGGTTACAGGCCACCCTGAGCTTTAGCAGAGTTACACTTTTCCATACATGCAAAAGTACAGGGCAGTTTTCATTTACATTACTGTAACCTTTCTCTAACACTTACTTGAATCTGTTTAAGCAAAAAAAAATTTCTCATGGGAACCGAATATTTTAAAATGCAGTCGGGCTGTCATGATTCCGTTACAGAAGCTTTTGTTTTGTAAAGAGTTGCTTTTATGGAACTGATAGCCAAGACGATTGCAAATTTTAAATAGGTTCATTCACTCACTTTTCATTATTGTGTTGTTTGCTTTCAGCTGCTGTAGACTGTTCAGTACCAAAAAGCAGGCTAAACAGCATAAAATGTAAGTATTTCCTGGGAGGTGTCTGTCCTTTACAAATTTACATAGAGATACATTGTTACTTTTTAGCAATTAACTGTGCTGTTCCTGCCCTGTATAGCACAACCTTCCACCATCACCAAAATTATTTGTTAAAAGTTTATACTGTGCTCATCAAGTCTCTTTTTAGTTTTTCTCCCCTATATATTTTTCTCCATTCATTTCTAATTGGTCTGGAACCAATGTATCTTAAGAACTGTTTGCTCACATATGAAACTGCCTATCAGATCAGATTTATATCCAAGGTCCTTACTTTATTGCCTCTACTTCTGGAAACAAAGCACATCGCTAACTGGAAAGAGGGCCTTTCCTGTGGTGGCACCCTGTTACAAAGCTCCCTCCCTACTCAAGTTCACCTCCAATAAGATTTTTTAAGCACCAGCTGATGTCCATCTTGTTTATCTATGCCTTTAATCATATAAAGAAAATAAGCAGCCACTTTTTTCATATGATTTTTGTTCAGTTGGATGATCTTTTTTGTTTTTGTTTTGTTAGTTTGGACTTTTAGATGTCCTAAGTGCCTTTAGGACAGTACAGCAGGATAAATGTACACTAATTAAATAAAATAATGCCACAGTTTGGTTGCATACAAAAGCTGTTTGGTTCAAACCCCTGTCTACAGTAGAGAACCAGCCAAACATAGGTCTTTCTATACAATTCCAGTCCCAAAAACCTTCAGACAGGAAGCAGGTCTTTCTCCAGATGGTTCATGTGGAAGGGTTTTATTTTGGTTTGGTCTGGTCTGGTCTGGTCTGGTTTGGTAGGGTGTTTGGTTTGGTAGGGTGAGAGCCAGTATGGTGAAGTGGTTAAGAATGGTGTACTCTGATCTGAAGAACCAGGTTTGATTCTCCACTCCTCTATATTAAGCCTGCTGGGTGACCTTGGTCAGTCACAGTTCTCTCAGAACTCTCTCAGCCCCACCTACCTCACAAGGTGCGTGTTGTGGGGAAAGAGATTGTAAGCCACTTTGAGACTCCTTAAGATAGAGAAAAGCGGAATGGGGGGGGGACCTCTTGTTGATGTTGCTTGCAATAACTCAAAGCCAGCAGCACAGAGCCACACCCCTGTATAAAGAATTTGAGGAAGGTAAACTTCCTACAGGGGAAAGCCAAATTCGTGTTCACTTCTGGAGATATGTGCAATGGAATATTACATGAGATAGGATCCATCATTCAGAGCGCACAATTAAAGCAAAGGGGGTTCGAAATGGTGGTTTCCTATGGGGGAGGGGATGCAGGTAGTCTTGCTGGTGATTTCCACTTCATAAAAATGGTTTTATGAGCTCTGTTATGTTTGAATGCTTAAAGTGGAATGTGGGGAGACGATTGATGCTAATTTTTTCAAGAGTTTGCAAAATGGTGCTGACATGAATTGAAGCTGTGTTGATCATCACAATTGGTAATCTTATTTATTAATTAAAATCAGGGGTCATTTGGGGGGGACGCGGGGGGACGCCATCCCCCCGGGTGAGGTGTGGGAGGGCGGGGCCTGGAGCTCCCTGCTGGTGCCCGCTGGAGGTCGCCGCCGGCTGTGGGGAGGACACACTTCCGGTGATGTCAGGGGGTGTGGCATATGCTAATGAGTTATGCTAATGAGTCCCCCTAGCTCTTTTTCTACGAAATGACCCCTGATTAAAATATTTGTATCATGCCTTTTCCCAAGGTAGTTTACAAATTCAAGTTTGAAACACACAAAATACCCCCAAATAACCCTTTCCTCCCTTAAAATGCCTGTGGCCTATAACCCATTAAAGCTCTAGCAAATAAAATGGCCTTCCAGTGCCTCCTAAACATTTTCAGAGATAGTACCTCACTCACTGTGACAGATGGGCAAAGGCCCCACCCCTTTCTGTACATAACCAGTCCCTTTTATGCCTTATTGGAGTATGTGAAGAGCAGGCAACAGCCAATCGGGGCCCATGGAATTTTGGAGGAACTTGATGGGAGGGTGAATTGACAGTAAAAATCTGTTAAACTGCTATTTTTAGTCAGACGGATTTACTGCTGATGTACTGGTTCAGGAAATCTGAGGTCTCAGAGTCTGGCTTCTGAAGAGGCAATCTAATGTATGGTTGCTGGGAAAGGGTTACATTTAAAATTTAGTCTATTTGTGGGTCAGACTAGATACTTGTTAAATGGTCACTAGGAGTCCTATCTAGGGACTTGGTGAACATGTAGGTTTTGAAGAGTGAACCATAACCACTTAAGGATTACAATAAAAGTCTAAAAGGTGGCTGATAGTTGCTGTCTGCCTCTAAATTCGTAAATTCATTTTATGAATCATTTCCCTACTGACTGTGCTCAACGTAAGCTTTGTGAAACTATTGTAAATGGTTTCAAGGCTTATTTGCAAAACAATCTTTTAACCCCTTCTAAGGGAGGAAATAATAATTATCTCTGTAGTCTGGAGATCTCTAGGCCCCACCTAGAGGTTGGCAAACCCAGGGGTCGTTTCGTAGAAAAAGAGCTAGGGGAACTCATTAGCATAACTCATTAGCATATGCCACAACCCCTGACATCACCGGAAGTGTGTCATAAGGCCACACACCCCGCCCCCAACAGTCCCGGCCGCCGGTGGCGGCCTTTCAGCTCCACTTCCGAGCCCCATGAGGGGCCCGGCGGTGGACCTGCAAGGCCGGTGGGAGTGCAAGGAAGCCCCGCGAAGGCCCTCCCTGGCCCCAGGCAGGCAGGGGTGGGGAGAGGCAGGGAGGAAGCAACTTACCCTCCCTCTTCTCCTGCCTCCTCCTGGCTGAATGAGGGCCGGAAGTGGGGCGGCCGGAAGCAGGGGGTGGGGCTTCGTCATGTGCCTCGCCCCCCGTACTTTACCCGGGGGAACTGCTATCCCCCCCGAAATGACCTCTGGGCAAACCTACGCTACTCTGTCCTACACATTTGGTGGTAGAGATGCAATCCAATCAAAATAAATGTTTCCAATTTCTTAATGGCTGTGTATTTACATGATAGCGTAGTATGGCAGAGAAAGCTGCCCATTGACACAAGAGGAACATGTGATTATTTTTTCCCAGTTCCAGATGTTCCTTATTACAGATTCCAATCCCTTAACCTCCAGCATTCACTTGGGCAGCCCTAGGAAGCTGCTGGAGGAAGGCAAAGGCAAAGAGAGACCCATTTTCATGAACATTTTCTACTTGGGATCTCACCTTTCCCTTCTAACTGGCAGGCAAATAAGAACTGCTATACCTTAAGTTACTGCACTTGATGATGTAAATTGAATTAAAATGGCCTTTCACTAAGGGAGAATCAGTACAATGTAATGGATAAAGTGGGCAGAGTACTGAATGGGATTTGAACTTGGGAGAACAGAATCCAGCCAGGTCCCTTCTCACAAGATAACTTTGGACCAGTTGTTGTCTGTCTAATCTACCTCACAGGTCATTGTGAGGTTAAAATGGGAGAAAACCTACCATGAGCTCCTTTGATAAAATTGTAGATTATTAATGTCATACATAAATAATAAGGTCAACCGTATACCATATTATTTATCTGTGACATTGATATCCCACTCTCTCCTTGGCAGTTGCTCCCAGAGAGATCCTAATATGTGTAAAGATATCTGCATATGTGGTTCTTCCTGATGCCATACATATACATAGCATGTCTCCCAAGAAGTGTATGGAATATCTAGTAGTTCAAGAAGAATAGTCATGATAGTCTCTTGCAGGAGTCTTGTGTTGCCTTGAAAATTAAAGAAATTTTTATTCGGACATAATAAAATAATAACAGACCATGTTCAGACACAGTGAGTGAACTCTCACTTTGCATTCTTTCTATATCAAAAAGCAGCAGGGTTTAAGAGATCACTAAAGTAACAAGTTTAATTAAGATACAGTTGTAGTAAGATGAGTATCCCAAGTTTTGGTTCAACTCAAGGGATACCCTAGTACCTACAAAGCTTATAGTTCTTTTGCAACCCTGGTTTTCTAAGGACTCTTTATTTTGTCCCAAACCACAGGAACAATCCTAAACCAATCTACTCAGAAGGAACTCCCATTTTATTTACTGGTACTCCTAGGAAAGCATCCTTAGGCTTGCCTACTAAGTTGCTTATATGGCTTACTACACCAGTTTGGTGTAGTGGTTAAGAGTGGTGGACTCTAATCTAGATAACTAAGTTCGATTCCCCACTCCTCCACATGCAGCCAGCTGGGTGACCTTGGGTCAGTCACAGTTCTCTCAGAGCTCTCTCAGCCCCACCTACCTCACAGGGGTATCTGTTGTGGGGAGAGGAAGGGAAGGAGATTGTAAGCTGTTCTGAGACTTCAAGTGAAGAGCGGGGTATAAATCCAATTTTCCTTTTTCTTCTTATACAGGATAGAGGATTTCTCCCTTCTTCCTCCTGTTTTTTGTTTTATTTTTGTTTTGTGACTGCTTTTATTACTGTTGGGCTTACTAATGGTTTGCAGCTAGCATCCCCGTATTATTTTTCAAATGTCAATCAATGCTCATAATAAAATTTCTTAGCCCTGAAGGGCTTGTGATGTATTTCACAATAAAGGAAAGTGTATCAGAAGAGAATGGCAAGATGTTAACCTTTCCATAGGAACCAATAATAAGAAAACTTGCATTTATCTTGGATGCCCCAGCTCTGTTTTTCTCTGAGCATTTTGTATGTAGAAGTGGGTGGAAATTTGCAATCTTTCCTCCCATTATTAATTTTAATTATCTGTGAAAATAAGCAAATGCACTATATTGTCTTTGTACTGTTTTTAGGCATGATTTTGAGCTATGCTAAATTTTACCATTTATCAGTGAACAAAACAAGAGGAATATATCTAAGATGAACATAAGCAAGCAAGAACAAAAGCATGCTCAAAACCAGAATATTTTCACCATTTCAGTAATTTTAGTGTTTGTAGCTTAATTAACACCTGAAACACAATAAGGCTGCATATACGTGATTTGCTTGGTAACTAATGTTTTTGTTTATTTTACTTAACTAATTAT